TTTTTTTGGTTTCTTTCCTTTCCCTGGCTTCCATTTTGTACGCGTGAGAGAGAGAGAGAGAGAGAGAGAGAGAGAGAGAGAGAGAGAGAGAGAGAGAGATCGGTAAAAGAGAGATCCCCCCGTGTGTGTGTGTGTGTGTGTGTGTGTGAGAGAGAGAGAGAGAGAGAGAGAGAGAGAGAGTGAGTGTTTGCATTGATCAGTTGCCTCCACCATGAATGGATCACGGGTCATTTTTGTTTTTGCGAGCGAAGCCGCAACAGGTCATCTAGTGTTGTTGAAGATTGTTATCTTATCTGCCACTTGGAAATGTTCCTCTCTGCCATGTGTACAGTGTTTCATTGGACTTTCATTGAAGACGTACCTTGAAGCTGCTCATAAGGATGGCCAGGCCCCATTCGATCCGTCTATTCTGGTAAGGCGTCCATACTGCTGATGTTCCGTCATCCCTCAAGTGTGTATTGATTCTCCTCCTTGGCTTGCAACTATCATTTTGTGCTGAGTCTGCTGACGCTAGAAGAAAGAACATCGTTCCATAATGAACTTGTCTCTTCTACATATCAGGTGGTAAGTCGCATATATGTTGCTGGATGGTCTGTAATTCTTCAATGGTGTATTGAACTGAACTGTATTCACTGTATTCTCCTGTTCGGCTTGCAACTCAAGAGTTTTTCTGATTTCTCTTTGTTTCGAGTTCTTAATCATCCTGTCCTCATTCAAGGGGAATGAGGGGCTTAGGTTGCTCGGCTAGTTGTGCCCGTTCTGCTTGTCGGTTTCCGTCTTTCCTCCTTGGCTGAGAAGTCAGCGGAGGCACACACACACGCAACCCCCTTTGGCTCTGCGGTTGTCGATCCAAGTAAGGTCGAGCGAGGACTAATCTGTGTAGGTCATTGGGCAGGAGCAGCAGAGCGAGATAGTCGCTACAAAAAAAAGGATAAGGTCATGGCTTCTGAAGCTACCGTCTTCACCCGAATAGAATGCCCGGTCATTATAGCCGTATTTGGTGTAATTTTCAGTCCAGATACGGCTAAAATGACCGGGCGTTCTATTCGGGTGAAGACGGTAGGACCGGCGGTCCTAGCAAAACTAGTCGACGAATGTGGCTTAAGAGTTTACAGTCGGTGTTGTTGTGGTTGTCGAAGACTTGAGCAATCCCTGTCGATCGTTTTGTTTCTTCTTCTGCCATTAACAGACTGTTGCTGCACCTGTCTCCCAAGCTTCTTTTTTTTTTTTTTTTTTAAATAGCATGATTTCATTATATGAAAAAAAGGAGGCCGGGAATCTCCCTCCACACCGCAACCTGGGATATTGGCGCCGCCAATACCCAGCTTAGGCTCATACTGGGAAAACGGGTGCAGTGTCCCATGCTTCAAAATCCCAACATGCTATTCCAGAACGAAATATAGAAGCTGGATTAACAAGACTACAAAAAGAGGAGAAAGAAAAATTGAGCAACAGCAGACAACCACCCGTGGGCAGTGTAGTCTGTGTGCTCACAGCTCCGCTCATGTCCTTGGACTCTGTCGCTATCTCCTGCCGGCTTGCGCGCTGGTGCGCACTTCGAGAGACCCGGATGTGCTCATTGGCCCAACCGTTAGCAGGCCTGCTCCCTGTGTATCCATCAATCGACTTTATTCTGGACACTAGGATCCGGACAACGGACCTGATCATCTGCGCCTGGTCGGTATGCATTGGGATCGAGAGGTATGCATTGGGATCGAGATGTCTGGTCGGTATGCATTGGGATCGAGAGGTCTGGTTGACATGCATTGGGATCGAGAGGTCTGGTCGGTCAGCCTGCTACAACCCTTTCGATCCCAATGCATTCCGGATTTTTGCCTGATTTTGCAAGCATGATGTTCCTGCCTTTTTTTTAATCTTCCTCTTCTTCTTTTTGGAATGTATTTTTGCGCGGAACACAGGTGAATGCAGCAGACATAGACTCTTATGCTCCCCATGAGATACTGATCGCAACTACTGGCTCACAGGTATGGCCGCCTTCTCTCTCCTTGCGCCACAACTTCTTCCTCCCTCCCGTGCTTCTCTTCTCCCCCCTCCCCTCTCTCTCTCTCTCTCTCTTGATTGATTGTACTGTGTGCGGCCTTCTCTGACTCTGCAGTGATACCGCTTGTCTGTGCCCCATGCGATACTGATTCCTACTTTGGGCTCAAACCTGTGCCCCGTTTCCTCCTCCTCCTCCGTACTTCTCCTTCTTGCTGCTCCTGCTGCTCCTCCTCGCTTCCCCAACTCGCCCTTGCATCTCCTCCTCCTCGTCATTGCCTCCCCTCCTCCTCCTCCTGCTCGTGTTCCTTCCGTCTACTTCTCCTCCTCCTCCTTTCTACTCCTTGTTGCTTCCCCTCCTCTTCCTCCTCCTTGCTTCTACTACTCCTTGTTGCTCCTCCTGCTCCTTGTTCTCATCCTCATCGTTGCTTCTCCTCCTCCTCCTCCTCCTCCTCATTGCTTCTTCTCCCGCTTCTTCTCCTCCTCCTCCTCCTCCACCTGGCTTCTCCTCCTCAAAAGTATGCACTTTTTCTTCCTCCTCCTTGCTTCTCTTCGTTCTCCTCCTTGCTCTTCATTATTCAGTTGGTGGTTTTGCAGTTTGCAGTACACTGTGTGGAGACTCGTTCATGTTCTCTACCAGTCTCGAACGAGAACCACAGAGTCACAGACAGGAAAATAGCAGCGTAGGCAGTAAAAACATAACTCATGGCTGACAGTCGGTATGACTGGTAATAAAATATATCACGGCTGACCATCTCAGGTGGGCAGAATCTCCACCAAGTTTTCCTGTTATGTGTGAAAAACTCACAGCTAGCGGTTGTTATAGAACAAAACAACAGTCGAGAGAGAGAGAGAGAGAGAGAACACATGTTATGTGTGTTGACTCTTCAGCGACGTCTTCGTCTGTCTCAGGTGGGCAGAATCTCCGCCGAGTTTTCCTGTTTTAACTTGTGTTTTCTATGATCTTTTTTCAAACTTGGGGTGTCTGTATTTCAAGTTTCAACAGTTCAAAGGGTGTCCCAACTGAGCTAGGCCTGTTTCTATGATGTTATCCAACTTATCCTTTGGTGCCTTGATTTTGCCTGCAGGCTGAACCGCGAGCAGTTCTGAACTTGGCTTCATTTGGTGGGAGTAAACATTTGAAATTGACAAAAGATGACCTAGTACTCTATTCAGCAAAGGTTGTTCTCTCCTCCTCCTCCTCCTCCTCCTCCTCCTCCTCCTCCTCCTCTTGTCATCTGCTTCCTTCATCTGCTGTCCTTCTTGTTGCATATAGCCCTCTCCTCTCATCCTTTTCTTTCAGCAAAAAAACAAAGCTTGATCTCTTCATATATCTTTGATAATCTATCTCTGATCCTCTTGTCCTCTTTTTGTGTGTATTTGTGTGCGCGCGCGCGCATGTGTGTGTGTGTGTGTGTGTGGTATATGAACACCATGGGTGCCGTAGCAGTCAGCCACCAGGCAGGTGCTGACTACTGTCTTCACCCGAATAGAACGCCCCGTCATTATCGCTGCATCTGGACCGAAAGTTGTGCCAAATACATCCATAATGACTGGGCGTTCTATTCGGGTGAACACGCGTCCGCTTTCAACCACCATGTCAACTGTTACACCACAGATTGCAGATTCGATCTTGGCAGTCCTGTGCGTCGACCCAACTGCAGACTGATCTGCAATCTCTGTGTGTCTTTCCCAGCATGTGTAGTGTTAACCTTACTTGACTCAAGAAAATGAAAGATGTGACTCTGACCAACTGTTATGCCCAACTTTCATCAACTAATCTTCAGGATATGTATGTCTGTGTGTGCCCGTGTGTGTATGTGTGTATGTGTGTATATGTGTGTACGTGTGTGTAATACTGTGTATGTGTGTGTATGCGTGTGTGATGATGTGTGTATTTTTGTGTTTGTTTATCTGTGTACACACTTGTGCACACACTTATGCACGTGTGTATGCGTGTTGTCATGTTCATTATTGTGTGTATCCATGGAGTTGTGTATGTGTGTGTATGAGTGTGTACGTGTGTGCAATACTGTGTATATACTGTGTATGTGTGCGTATGCGTGTGTGATGATGTGTGTATTTGTGCGTGTGGTTATTTGTGTACACACTTGTGCACACACATGCACATATGTATGCGTGTTGTCATGTTCACTATACTCGGCTCCACAAAAAAAGCATGACTGTTCCAGACAGCTTCATTGGACTTTCGTTGACTCATCAGGAGGTTGTGTGTGTGTGTGTGTGTGTGTGTGTGTGTTCGTGTGTGTGCATGCACTTGCATGCGTACCTATTTTCTGTGCAGATGATTCCTGGAAATGAGACACGAGTGGTAAGGATGATGAACAGAATAACAGAACTAGGTTCGGAAGTGATCTGGGGTCGTGGAGAGAATCTGCACACATCTGGCCATGCTTACCGAGGCGAGCAGGTATGCGTGTTCCTCGTCCACGCCACTGATGGATGCTGGGCTGTGCATTATTTTTTTCTTTTATAGCGTTCCTATGATCTTCGCATCAGGATATTGTAGGTGGAGGATGGGCGGTGTGGAGCGTGAATTGCCATTCATGGGGAAATCAACAGTCGAGAATACTCAAATGGTTGATTGTCCCATCGTGTCGGCATGCGTGTGTGAAATTGTGATTTAATTCCTTTTTTTTAATTTTTTCAAAATTTTTCCTTTTTTTTTTCCTTTTTTATTTTTGACCTTGAGATATCATCGTCGAACTGATCAGGCCCAGGTTATTCAGTTCACAACTTGATGTTGTTTATTTCATTGGATTAGGACAGAATCCATTAATGCCCCATCGCGTTGTAGGATGTGTGTGAAATTGTTTTTTTTTCTTTTTTCTTTTTTTTTTTCTTCCCCAAGACGACGAGGAGGACCTTGAGGTATCATCGCTGAAGTGAACCGGCCCCAGGTAATGCAGTTTATAACTTGAGGTTATTTATTTCATTAGATTGGGGCAGAATGCATGAACCGCTGATCGTCCCATCAAACTGGATGGTCCCAGGTAATTAATATTTGTGCCGGTATTGCCTGTGAGATTTTTTTTTTTTTTTTTTTTTTTTTTTTTTTTTTTT